TACTTTCTAGGACTTCAAGTAGCGGAAAAATAGAAAAGGGAATTCAACATAAAAACCCAGGTCTCCTCAAACAGCACGGGAAGTCTGCCTCACGGAGAGCAAAGCAGCCCTGAACTCACCCAGCTCCTGGAGGTGCCTGTCCCTGGCAGTGCTGTAGAACCACAGGCTATTTTCTATCCTCAGCTTCTGACACTGGCAGCACTGCCCAGGAGAGGCAGGCAGGATGAACGCCAGCCAACTCTCAGCAAAGCTCTCATGCCTGTTTTGCTTCTCCCCTCCTCCTCCGCCTTCCTTAAACAGCCACCGTGCCTCTCCACCTCAGTGCTTTCGGGCAGTGCCTCTGCCTTGCCATGACTTTGGATACAGTAGTGATGGGAGCATCCCAAGGAGAAGAGGAGCTGTGGTCCTTCCTCTTTTTAGAGGGAGGGTCAAAGACCAGACCCCACCTCTCCAGGCATGCTTACAGTCTCATCACAATGTACTAGACATAATGGCCGGAATAAGATTTTGCAATAAAATGGACACTCGGCAATGGGGACAGGGCAAGATCCAGCCCTCTGAAAATTTAGCATGTTAGTGGAGAGAAAGAAACAAATGGGAGAGCGGTGAGTAGAGAGAAAAAGAAGTTGAGGTATCCCAGCATTTGGCTTTTCATAACAACGTTCTCCTTGTTAAATCTCCAAGTTATTCATCAAAAATGCACGGGTGCTCTGGCCTCTTGGAAAGACATCGCCTATGCTGCAGCTGAAAAAAAGCACACTTGTAAATCTCAGGCCTTCACCTTTTCCACAGAAATATGCCCTATAGATGTATCAGATGCTGATAGACTCTGACCTATTCAGAGATGTGAATATTAATGGAAAATGCTGAAAACCCACTTTTATGCTTCCACTGGAAGAAGCATTTTCAAAACATTTCTTCTAACATAGAAATCTCATCTGACCTAGTTTCCTACCCTGTTTGTTACCTCCTGGTTGTCTCATCTGAGGTTCCACCTCCTGTTTCTCCATCTGCCAGCTTTTTTTAGATCAGAGGAATCTTCTGAGTTACACATTAAATGTCAGGCAGGCTTGAGAAAAGTTGTTTATGTCTACATTTAAACAGATTATATTTTCCATTAAAAATGCAGCATGGAGACGCTAAAGGCCAAGATCTCATTTGCCTTTGGTTACCATAACTCAAGAGCAAGTCTGCTTATGTACAAACTGATGCTATTAGTTTAGACCTGTGTATATCCAAGCAGAATGATGACACCCTATGACAACCATTATCAGTGTCTTTTCCAGTAATATTAAAAACCTCAAGCTGAGGGACAAAAAGTATGAGATAATTTAGTAAAAGTCACTGGATGCCTTCTGTGGACTGAAATCAAACCCAAACCCAGTATCAGGGAACCATCTATCTTCTCCCACTTACCTCCTGTGCTACACCACAGCAGAACACAGATTCAGTCTGCACTAATTACCTGAAGGAGTAATTACCTCTAAGGTTGCAACACCTAAGGGCAACTACTCCATTCAAACCCAGCACTTGAGGTATGCTGCACCATGCAGTATTTACAGTACGGTATTTTGCCAGCATATGAGACCACAGTGCTGCTGAAAAATCCTGGTGAGTACTTAGCTGTGAGATTTTACGGTAATCTTTGTTTTTCTGCCACATATTCTGCAGAGGGACCTTGATCATCTGATCTCTGCCATCTCCAAGTTCCCCGCAGACTTGAGAGGCACCAGGAATCACCCCCACAAGTCAACGAAAAGACTCCCTTTATTTTCAGCGAGTCAGGGATCAGAGCCCTGGAGCATCACCTCCACCGCACAACATCTATCTGACAAAAAATACCACACAGCCAGCGCCTTAGAAAACTGTATAAACAAGGGTTTCAGCAGTTATTTTCTCCCTAAAAAGCATACAGAAAAGAACTGGAAACTCATCATGTCAGTACAGACTGCCACACGTAATTTATATGAGAAGATCACATGTATACTGGAGCTATGGGTGTCCTAAAACACCCATGTGAAGCCAGCAGGAAAAATCTTTCCACATATTTCGGTGAACTTTGGATCAAATCTGAGGCAATTAAGTACTTCTACTTGGTATATTAAGATTTATATGAACATGTGTAGGCAGCCATTCTGTACCTGTCTTCCATTGTGCTCCTGGAATAATTTCAGCCATTAACTGGACAGCCCTGAATCTTCGAGTCTCCCAGCTCTTGGAGACAAAGGTCTCTACTCCAAGTTTGCTGCAGGCAGTTGACCCGCTGTCCACGTCAGATGCTTCCAATATGAGGATCACTGAGCCTAGACTGCCCACGCTATGAAAGCCAGGATGAGTAAAATCTGTGCTTTGGGGAGAGATGCAGGCATGTTACTTTTCATCAAGTGTAGGACACTGTAATTTACCTTAACTCGCCTACAACTGTCTCATGGGAATAAGAGAAAGTCTCGGTGGAGGAGGGCATCATTTCTTGCCTTATCCCTCAAACACAATGACTTGGAAGTCACTATACGAAAGGCATGTAACACAAGTATTAACACTATGATTTACAGTAATAAAAACATTATTACAATGTGTCTAATTAGGAACCATTATAAGACCAATTAAAGCTGTCAAAATAGAACAAAAAAGCAACATGTGTTTTTTCCCTGGAGGACTGGGATACGGTGAGACTCATTATTAACTTGTAATTTGAGAACAGAAGATTGCTTTCGGTTCAAGTTGAAATCTAAGCTCTTAAGGAAAAGAGGGGCTCTGAGGTATATTCCTCTCCAGCAGGCATTGCTTAAGCAAATATATCACAACAGCAGAAGCGTTTTTTAATACCCAGGGCAGATATTTAAAAAACAAATAAACCTGAATACAGCCGTATCTATTTAGTTCAGCTTTAGCATCCAACACAACTCTGACATTTGCAATCCGCATATCAGTATTCATCTCACTGCAGGAAATGAGACAAAATGGCATTTAGTTTACCTGGAAAGGATGGTCAGACAGCCCTTAAGGAATCTAATTAAAATGCAGCTTATTACCAGAGCAGTGCATCACACTGTGCTGCCATAGTAACCAGGGGTCCCATGGACTGTTGGGGCCATCTGAGGGCATGTTTGCAAAAGGCACAAGAACTAAACTGATCTCCTATGGTACATTTTAAATGACCTGAAAACTCTGAATAATTTGCTGATGTTCAACCTACAAAAGAAAAGAATTAACTTCTACATGCTCAGACCATGGGCCAGTCTCAGGAGTCAGTTTATTCTTATTACTGGTTTTTATGACATACTGCTCCCCACAGCTTATTTAAGAAGTGCACAACTTACTTGCAACATGTGAGCAACCAGTTTAACTTGATTTCCTAATAGAGAAACAATAGAGCAATCAACACCTATGGGCTGTGGAAGAGAAGATGAACACCAGAAATAGGTATTCTACTTAGGCTGCTATTTGCAGTGCTACTTCCTGAAGCATCAGGCATCTGACTGCTCCAAGGTGTTGCTTTTGGTGGATGAGTCCCTGCTAGCACCCCAGGGAAAAAAACCAAACAACAAAAAAACCAACAACAAAAACCCACCAAAAAACCAACACACTACAGCACTGGGCTTTTCTTCCTGAATCCTTCTACTGGAACAGAAAGATCCTTAAACAACATTAACATTTATAAAAGCAGTATCTTACATTGTGCCCTGTCCTGATATTAATTTTCCATGGACACAATCAATAGATTTGCCACTGAGACATTAAGGTGAATTTTAACAGTAGAGATAGCCAGGTCAAGAGATTCTTTTGACACACCACCTGTGAAGGAGACTGCAAATTGTTAGTGGGTTATTGCATGTTATCATGAAAGATTTCTGCAAAAGAGCATAGGACTTTAGGCTCCATCAAGCAATTTAAGTATTGATGAAAATACCCATAAGTTGTTTGAAATGATCAAAAGGATTTTTAATTGCTTTGAAAGAAGAGCTTGATAGCAATTCTTCTGAAATAAGTGAAATTCCTTAGAAATACAGGGTTGGGACTGGGGGGATGACATGGGAAACTGAAGAACCAGTTTTCTAAGCACTGTGAACTCAATATGCTCATGTGATTTTGGCTCACAGTACTACACCATCAACTCCCACTGTAAATAAGCTGGGATGGGTACATATCTGGAAAGATCTATTCCACATTGGGCGTGCTAATACAAGGGAGGTTGCAGAAAGCTAGAAAGGAGCTTAACTCAAGAACAAGTTGGAGAGCTCAGCCTCCACGGTTTTGGGTCTCTTTTTGCACACACCAGTGACACGCATTCTGTGGTTGTGCCTAAGTTTCCCCATTTACAAAACCAGACAATGGTATTTACCTGTTTTAAGATCCATGCCCCGGAACACTGGAAAGACCAGCTGTAAGGGGAGCTCAAAACCCTACTCGGGATTAGAAAACCTTAAACAAAAAGACACTGTATCATTCAGGTTAGAGGCAACACTCGATCCAAAATAACAGATAATAAAAACATGAGAGAAGTAAAAACATTCACATTTAAATCTTTTTACTATATGGGAAAGTATCCAGGCAACATAATAACTAAAATTACCATGTCAAAAACAGACAATAGACTGTACTTTTGTTAAATGGGACTTTATACAAGACAAATTGATTGCAACTAATCCATCACTCTTCTGTATAGCCCAGCACTTTGAAATCATAATTCTTCAAAGGGCCTCACGATTTCCTGATAATCTGCTGCAGCCTGTTATTAATGGCTTCGCTCACTCTCAGGTTCTCCTTACAACAGAAAGGTTACTAGCAATACCAATGAACCCATTTTGTCAACAGTTTACTCCAGCTGAGGTACCAGCCCTGCCACTCTTATCCTTCACCCTGCTTTTCGTATAGACTGGGTTTCCGTTTGCTGGTTTCGTTCCTCCAGCTCCTTCACAGGAAGCAGCACAGACCAAATGCTCTAAACAGGGGCTTTTGGAGAGCAAAGAAGGTGTTATAAGTCATCACTAATTTAGAAGTTCATTTTTAATGGGTTACATTTTATTCGCTTCAGTTGAACACCATTATTTACAGACACAAGTTAATAAAACACATCACAAAACAATAAAATTTCAACAGCTAATATTTATAGGTGCATAGTTCATGCTCAGTTACTTTTTTATAATACATACACATATATATAAAGCTCTCACAATAAGTCATCTCTGCACAGAAAGAATAGTCATAGGAAACAAATAAAAATTGTATCATAAACAATATCAAGTTACTGACAGCCTATCAACAAAACATGTACAGAGTTAGAAATAAGCAGTAGACACTTAGGTGTTTTTATTTAACACTCTCTTTTTTAACTTTTAAACTTGAAGCCACAATATCCACAGCACAACAATGACCCTGCCAACCAGCTTTCGTTTCAGCAGAAGGGAAATGCTGAAACAAGGTGGATGCAGTCACAGATACTCCAATCATTGCTGATGGAAGACTTCAAATACACCGTAAAAACTGTAAAAAAATTTTACGACTGGGCACATTGGAACTCAGCACTTGTACAGGACGGGACGTCTTTAGTAGTTAGATTTCAGGAGACAGAAAGAAAGGAAAGGACTCTCATGCTTCGGGTTCATAGTCTTGATACTCTTCCTAATAAGGAGAGCAGAAATCAGCACCAATAGTATTTTAGATAAATACATCCTACTTTCACTGCTTGTTCTAAGTCATAGTGGATTCAATGGCAAAACAGTACGGATTTTCATGTGATCAGGATTTTGCCATTTATTATTTTGTCACATCTTCCAGATTACTATAGTTTACAAGCTATAGCATTTACAAGAGAATTAAGCTTTTACAATGATTAACACATCATTCAGCTGATGTTGCCAGGAACTCAGGAGGTCACCCACAGCAATTCGCTTGGAGAGGGAGGAGGACTGCCTCTGGGCTGAACAGCACACCAGGTGCTGCAGGTACCCATACGAGTCAGTAAATCATTTAAATGTGTTTAACTACGGGTACCTGAGCAGTCCCCATAATTTCAGTGACACTCAAGGCATTAGTGATCAAGAGCACCTTTAAGTCTTTCACTAGCCTAAATGTTTTATACCTCTCATTTTCGGCTTAATTATCTGCGCTACTGTAAAACTGCCACTCCAACTACCAAGGCATCTTGCCAGACATTGTAGTAATATTTTAGATAGCAGGTTCATAAAAACAACAAAATAATTTACTCTCATAATTGCATTAACTTCAGTGTATAATAACGAATTATCGTGTTTTACAAAGGAGGATGCTTTGATAAGCAGCCAAGCTACTAAAACAATCTATGAAGAAGCAGTTTTCCCCGTGTTCCTTATCAAACATAAGAAAGAGGTACAAGTTGACTGTGGATTACTCAAAAACCCAGGCACAAGTGTTTCAAAACACACACAGTATTTTCCCGTTAAACTTCCTTACTATTGAGAAAGCACTGGATTTTCTGATTCCCAGCACTATACCTCTGGGAGATCTTGGTCAAAGAGACCGCGTTTATGCTGTGCCCTTGCAGGTCACAGCATCAGCCCATGACCAGCTAATGTAACTCCAGCAGGCAGCCCCCTCCTGTGCCCTTCTCCTCCGCGCAGGCACAGCAAATACCATGAGAAATTTACCTCTGGAGGCATTTCGTAAGCCTCGTTCTCAGGATCCACAGGAACATCTGTATTATTCACCATCCCCTCCTGCAGGAAGCCTTCTTCATTCTACATTTAAAACAGGGAAAGAAAAGCGAGAGACTGTAACTGCTTGCCTCGTCATTTACGCCAAAGCCTGTCTTTGCTCCCCATCAGTGGTTGACCTCTTGGCCTGTCCTTTGGTTGCAGGATGTTGCCAGGGGTTGCGAGCAGCTAGAAGACATCAGTTCCAGAGAGATCTTCTGCATGTTCCACAGGGGTATCCATGGGAATGACTACTATCATCTTTCTGAATAGCTAATGTGCTGATATCCCATTTCTCACTTGCCATGGACAGGCCAAGAATTCAATCTGAACAAAAGAACAGTATCACCCCCAACTTGCTGAATATCTTTGGAAAAATATTTTAATCACACAGAAAAAGCTTTGGTCAAATCATGAAGCAAACCAAAACAAGTTTTTTTGCTCCTTAAGAAACTGATTTGGGAAACAGAGTCCCACACAAATTGTTTAAGAAGGTTATCACATTAATTTCCATTTAACTACTTATGGTAATACAGTCACAGGCATGTAAATGCAGTCGAAAAAGCAGGCCAAAAGAATTATGTAGTATCAAGACACACAAGTGAAATAGTAATTATATATATTTTTATGTTAATAATTCAATTATATATTTCAATGTTATAGACACATCAATCCTCTCATAAATCATTGTTTATTTTATAGTTTTAGCCTTTTCACAATACATTTCAAAGTAGCCAAGAAAGGGAGAACTATTATAACTCAGACTACCACATCCTGTTTTTTTCCTTCAGTTCTAGAACCTAATTGCATTGGGAAAAGCTTTTTTCCAACAGGTCACACCTCTATATGCTTTCTTATGTCAACCAGCATATTACTCTATGCAGTATATGATGCATAGTACTACCTGATATCCAGCTCCTTACACTTTTTTCTGGCCATCTGTTATTGACCATTATAGAAGCTCTTCTATTTTACATATAGCAATTTTCATAAGAGCCTCTTGGAATTAACGGTATTGCAATTGTGTAAGGAATAACTTGCTGAGTAAGATTACTTCAGTGTTGTCCTGGAACTATAGATACCTATTTACAAGCTGAAACAACCACAAATTATAGAGGCAAAAAAAAACATTCCAATTGGGCCTGTTTCTGTAGTAGTTGTTACTATGGAAGTTGACAGAGAAGAAACATGAGTTTTGCAAGAACAAAGACTGCTGGAGTTCATCCTGAACTGTAATAAAATTGGTATGAAAGCAGGCAGAATAGCTCAGTGGAACTGCTGTGACTGTGTTGATTTATACCAGTTGCCAATCTAGACAGAAGTGCACTAAAAAGCAATTACAGACACTCAGGAAGAAATTAACTTAAAAAAGCCCCTGCAGGCTGGTAGTGTAGACAGAAATACAAAGTTAAGTAAGTCACAAACCAGACTGAGGTAATTCTTCAGAGGCTGCAATTTATAGGATAGTGATGCTAAATTAAATTTAGGTTATAGATAAAATGAGGGTAAGAGAAGCTAAACCTGAAACTCACCTCTGCAAGTTTAACACAGAAAATGATATGCAAAAGAGGTGGCACTAAACCCTCTTTACCTTCACACAGTATTTATTGCGCTTCTGCTGTTCACCGTTTGCCACGGATCTGCTCCCTCTGTGGTTTAACCAGGTGACCTCAGTCATACTACTCAGTTCCTCCCTTGCTGCACCTCTGCATGCACAAAGTGTGACTTGATCTGCCAGATACAAATCCTCTTCTTCCTTGGTTCTGTCACCTTTTCTGGCACTGATGCACGTGCATGTACACACGTTTTTCCACCCTCAAAGTCCATGACGTGCAGAATTTATTTCCATAATGTGGATTCTTTTCTCTAGCTCTTACTTCGGACTTTAAAAGGTCTGGCACAAAGATACCTGGTCCCATTCCTTCTCAGTGGGGCCTGATACGCTTTTTCCTTTAAGCAGTCCAGTCCGTGTGGAGTCGATGCCTGCTATTCTGCCCAGCTGCCTCCACGCATGTGCCTACTATCAGTTAACACCCCGCGCTGCTCTATGGCATAGGTAACATGCACAAATTCCAAAAGTCAAGGGACACTGATGAATAAGGTTGCTGATATCTCTATTTAGGCCTGTGTCATCCAGAAGAACTAATAATTTCGGGTGTTCAACATGACAGGTAACTTTTCAAGCATGAAATTATCAGAAAAACTGGGCCCAATTACAGTTCTGCCTCGGTTTATCAAAACACTTGAGCCCCTAAAATTATTTGATGTGCAATATTTAATTACCCTAGCTTCTAAACAAATTTTTAGAAGTATTTATGCCTATTCACTTTTATGAGAAGTAGTATCAATCCCTACGAGCTTTGCTGGAAATAGCTATAATAATACGTGAGATGCAAATTTCAAAGCTGTTACCGTGCACTTGATCTAACGTATCAGCTCTAAGGACGCACGGCTCCAGTTTACTGCTCTCCTGTTTAATCCAAAGGAGCACTGAATTTCTGCTTCCCCCATCACTAAGGAAGAGCTTCAGCTCACAATCCGTACATCAGGTAAACTGTGCCCAAAATCAGCCTTGAGGTTGCATGAGGAACAAAGCATGCAGCTTAATGTTATCTGTAGCAGGAAAACAGGTGGCAAGAGAAACTGCCAGGACTATTAGTAACAATGAAGAAAAAGATTTGCCAACCGAATTTCAAAGAAGAGCTTCAAAGCTCATATGCTGTTGGTTTGTTAGGAACCTCTGCCATGGGTCTGGGCTGTCCATCAGGATTACAGAGATAAAATGCCTAAAAAAGGCTGAATGTATCATCCTCCCAAGTTCCTTCAGCGAGTTCAGGATGGAGGACCCTCTACAGCTTCAGATAAAACAATCAGCAGCACTAGTAAAATACAACATCAATCACAACACTGATATTTTTTCAAATGAAGCAAATCATAAGCCATACCAAACCGTGAAGAGATCTCTTTGCCTGGGAAAGGCTTATCATCTTTGCCCAGCTGAACACAGTACCACAGCCACCACCATTCATTTTGAAGTCACTGCAGTTCAGATGAGAATGACATTACACGGGGTCACATCTGTTACATTTAAATGTAGAGCATAGCTGACCACATCATTTTTCATGGTGGCTCTCTGCTTCTGATGTACCATCCTTCTGAAAGCGGGATATCACAAAAGTAAACGACTCCCAGTCACAGAGCCATCCAAGGTACACCTTCTATCATTATTTACCTCCTTTAAAACAAAGAAATGCAATTTTACATTCTCATGATCAATAATGCCATATCCTAACTCAGTTCTGGAAGAGGAAAAACACCCAATAGACCACTCCTTGTCTTAGTATGAAAGGCACATTTTCCTCTCGAAGTTGCCACCTCTATTCTTAAACCATATGGAAGGGTGTTTCCAGAGGGAAAGCTTTTTATTAGAAGATCTGGAAAGTGAAACAAAAGCTTCTCAGAGATGAAGTCAGTTTTTAAGTGGGGAGCATGAGCTCTTTTGCAGGGAAAACACTTTAAAAAGGGAAAGTTACAGCTCGTGCAATAAACAAGGTGGTAAAAGAATGGCAAGGTGAGGACATCTGCTTGTCCTCTGAGGATTCCCTTAAGAAAAAAAACAACTGCCCACCTCTATCTCGGTTTGAAGCACGGTCACGCTGGCTAAGACTCATATTTCTACATCTCCAGAGAGCCTTGTGCCCTCAGACCCCACAATATGGAAAGCAGGTTTTTGTGGCTCCCCAGAGCCGGGCACCCATGCTGCCCTTCCCCGGTACCAGTTTGTGCTCTCAGCACTCCTGCCCACCTTGACAAAGCTTTGTGACTATCAGACAGACCCACGTCTTACCAGGCCACCTCGCAAACTCACCCACGCCTTCCCTGGGAACGAAGGACTAGGGTGTATGCCCTCCCTCCTAAAGCGTGCTGTGCTCTCATTTTGTCGAGCGACTTGCGTCATTTTTATAAACAAAGGGAAGACAGTGTCCCATCATTGTAAAGTGGTACATTTGCATGCCCCAGTTCTGACTCAAGGAACAAGCACAGAATAACTGGTATACAAGAGCAGCAAAAATAAGCTGCTAAGTAGAACTTATTTGCTGCAACTGCTCCAAAATGTTGACTCCTCCTTTACTATGGGAATGAATCCTGCTAAGCTGTGCATGTGACAGTGTGAAATGACGCACTTTTGCAATGAAATAGTAATCAAACTAATTAAAAAGTCTTTCTGAAGATCTGACCCTGTTTAAATTATAGAGTATTTGCCAAAACTTCAGGTCTGTTCCTTTTACCTGGAAAACATCACCAAATGGGTTTCTCTTATCTCAGTGTTTTTGCTGAAAATCGTAGCCCATACTTTGCCTTCACCCTCTTTCCCACCTCATAATACTCTTGGAAGAGAAAAAACACTGTTTAAGATCCCTTACACATGGAAAACAGACCAAGTGGTCTGCTCATGGTACCACACCTATGTCGTACCACATGGCAAAATGGTCACCTTCAGGAGTGTGCATTCAGTCCCCTCGGTGATGTGTCTCTGAACGCCAAGTTATTGCCAACAGAAATAGCTTATTTTATCTCAAGTCACAGACAAAAGCAACCATTGTAATTTAGCAGCTGACCTAAGCACTGTAATTCACTATCTCTCTGGCTAGTAACGCATTTTTTCTTTCCATTATGAATGCTGAAGGAGTCTTACAGTCATGTAATTCTCACGATTACTGGAGACAAACTCCTTCTGGAGTGATTCCATATTCAGAGATAAATAAACGAGGCTACCAAAGTGTCAGCTCTTAAAACGTTTATGCTGGCAAGAGATGACAACCCTGGCAGTCACTTCCACTCATCACAGGGGTCAGAAGGCACCGCCAGAGATGGTCCAGTCCAACGGCCCAGCTCAGAGCAGGGTCACCTACAGCAGGTTGCTCAGGGTTGTGCCTGGTTGGGTTTTGACCATCATCATCCTCACGGATGGGGACTACACAGTCTTGCTGGATAACCTGGTCCAGTGACTACCTTAGCAGTGAAAAAGCTTTTTCTTCCATTCA